TGAGTGTGGGACCTGGAAGGCAGAAGGAACTTATGGATGCAACTGGGTAGATTTCACCTTCCCATACCCATCAGGGAACTCAATTGAGACAATGCCCTCCCCCAAGCAGGGCAATTTCCTTTAAGACAATATCCAAAAGGAATTAATGTACAGGGTCAGCCTGCAAAATTCATCTGGATGCACAGCACTTTTTCCACCTGTAATATTTTTAACTGAAAAAATTGTAATCCACCTTATATGAAAGATCCAATCAGGATGTCAGAATTGTGCTCTTCTGTTTTTGTCACTTATCATCCCTCCTTGGCTGACATTCAAATTCTTATGAATATGATGCTTACTGGAGATGAAAGGAGGATGGTGATTAATACAACAAAGCTTGAAGGAGCACAGGGGTTTCAAAGGATGTGAGGAACCCTATCTGTATTTCCCAACAGGAGCCCCAGTTACAACAGACAGTGGGGAGCCCACTAATTTGACCTTTCTTTTTCATTAAAGTATCACTGACATACAATCTTATGATGGTTTCACATACACAACAAAGTGGTTCAACATTCACCTGTACGATCAAGTCCTTACCCAATCAACTGCGGTCACTCTGTCCACATAGCAATTATAGTCATTAATTGTATTCTCTGCCTCCAGTCACACTACCGCCTCAGTGACCTACCTGCATTGTGACTGTGAATTATAGTGCCCCTTACTCTCCTTCTCCCTCCCCACCAATCCCTCCCCTTTAGTAACCACTAGTCCCTTCTAGTATCTATGAGTCTACTGTATTTTTGTTCCTTCAGTTTTGCTTTGTTTTTATACACCACAAATGAGTGAAGTCATTTGGTACTTGTCTTTCTCCACCTGGCTTATTTCATTGAGTATAATACCCTCTAGTTCCATCCATGTTGTTGCAAATGCTAGGATTTGTTTTCTTTTTATGGCTGAATAATATTCCATTGTGTATATGTACCACCTCTTCTTTATCCATTTATCTATGGATGGATACTTAGGTTGTTTCCGTATCTTGGCTACTGTAGATAGTGCTGCAATAAACATAGGGGTGCATATGTCTTTTGAATCTGGGATCTTGTTTTCTTTGGGTATATTCCTAGGGGTGGAATTCCTGGGTCAAATGGTACTTCTATTTTTAGTTTTTTTGGGAACCTCCATATTGCTTTCCACAATGGTTGAAATAATTTACATTCCCACCAACAGTGTAGGAGGGTTCCCCTTTTTCCACATCCTTGCCAGCATTTGTTGTTTCTTGTCATTTGGATGTTGCCCATCCTAACTGGTATGAGGTGATATCTCACTGTGGTTTTAATTTGCATTTCCCTGATGATTAGCTATCTGGAGCATCTTTTCATGTGCTTGTTGGCCATTGGATTTCTTCTTTGCAGAAGTGTCCGTTCAGCCTCTCTGCCCATATTTTAATTGGGTTATTTGTTTTTTGGGTGTTGAGGCATGTGAGTTCTTTAAATATTTTAGATGTTAACCCTTTGTCAGATATGTCATTTACGAATATATTCTCCCATACTATAGGATGACTTTTTGTTCTGCTAATGGTGTCCTTTGCTGTACAGAGACTTTTTAGTTTGATGTAGTTCCATTTGTTCGTTTTTTATTTTGTGTCTTTTGCCTGAGGAGATGTGTTGAGGAAAAAGTTGCTCATGTTTATATTCAAGAGATTTTTGCCTATGTTTTCTTCTAAGAGTTTAATGGTTTCATGACTTACATTCAGGTCTTGATCCATTTCAAGTTTACTTTTGGGTATGGAGTTACACAAAAATCCAGTTTCATTCTCTTTCATGTAGCTGTCCAGTTTTGCCAAAACCAGTGGTTGAAGAGGCTGTCTTTTCCCCACTGTATATTCAGATTTCTTTTATTTTTATGGCTGAATATAATTTGACTTTTTGGTAGATACTGATGCCGCTCAGTGTTGAATACTAAATTGGGAAAAAAAGACTAAATGCCTCCAATATAGTCACTGGGTGTCAGGAAATGTGCAAAGTTAGTTCTTACAATCCTTAGAATGTCATATGGGAGACATAACCTTAAAACATAGTACTGCTGGGCAGAATGACCCATTGATCAGCTCTTGGGTCGAGATTTGTTACTGAAATTAAATGCTCAAGCCACCTTTGCACGAGGGCAACTAGAGATTCAGGTTCCACTGGAACAATCTTTGAGGCTACAAATGGCCATCCTAGACACAGTCCCACCCAATCCAGAATTACTGCCACCCAAGATCTATGGAGGAGATAACGCCTGATGTACAGTCAACAGGATTCCCAGCAAGAGCGAAGAATGCTAAGCTAATCAAGATTCCTAAACAGTGGACTGATTCAGCCCTGCTGCTCTCCTTTTAACACCCTAGTTCTACCTATGAACTGTGTCTAACACTGCATAACTATTTGGCTGACTGTGGATATAAAGCATCACAGAAAAAGGTCTGTATTTGTAAACAAAAAGTCACCTACTTGGGATTTGCTGTTTCTAAAGTCCAAAGACAACTGCTGCAAGACAGAAAAAGAGCTGCTACTTGTTTGAACCAACCCAAGAGCTGCAACAACTGTGAGGGTTTCTGGGCATGGCTGGTTTCTGCCAGATATGGATTCCTAACTTTGGATCCATAGTTAAGCCCTTATATGAAGTTCTGAAGACAGCCTCCAGAGTAGACTACAGAGTGCCAAGAGGAATTTGACAACTGTTAAAACCCAGCGCATTGAAGACCTGGCCTTAGGATTGCCTGATATGAGTAAGCCGTTCTGCCTCTATGAACACAAAAAAAAAGGGCACAAGTCTGGGAGTTTTAACACAGAAACTGGGACCAACACCTCACCCGGTAGCTTATTTTTCTAAACAATTGGACCAGACTGTAAAAGGATGGCTACCATGACTCCAAGCTGTGCCAGCCACCTGTGACCTCTTCCAAGAAGCAGAAAAGTTTATTTTGGGCCAGCCCACCACTGTATATGTGCCCCATCAGACTAGAACAGACAGGGGTTTACTGGTTAATAACAGGGCAGATGGAAAATTCCTAGGCCGTTGTGCTAAACACTCTGAATGTCAAACTTAAAGTTTCTCCTACCCTAAATCTAGCAACACTGTTCCCTATAAGTGATGGGGAACCCATCTTACATGCAAACAGACTTGTTAACAGACATGGTCTATGCCAGCAGACCCAATCTCAGTGACCAGCCTTCAGAGGATCCAGAATTAGAACTCTTCACTGATGACAGCAGTTTCAATGGATCAGGTAAGAGAGACATGCAGAATACACGGTGGTAACCTTACATGAGACTCTAGAGGCAGGCACCCTTCTACCCTGAACTTCTGCACAAAAAGCTGAATTAATAGCCCTCACCCAGACCCTAATTCTCTCAAAAGGGAAACTGGTTGACATTTATATGGAATACTGACATGCTTTCATGGTTATTCATTCCTGGGGGCAACATGAAAGAAGAGAGGACTCCCTACCTCGGACAGAAATGACATTGACTATGTTCCTGAAATGTTAATAGTTTTTGGAGGCTATTGATGACCCCCTAAGGTGGCAATAATGCATTGTCCAGGACATTAAAAAGGGAATAATATATCTAGCTTTCAGATCATAGTCTCACTGTCCTTATTATGGTATTTTTTTTCTTTACTCTGTACAAGTTTATCCTTCCCTGTATAAACTGTGGTTGTTCATGCTTTAGATTAAATTCAGGTGAACAGATGTAAATCCAGCCCCTTTCCCAAAATCCTCAAGCCCCTTTTTCCCACAAGTCAGAATGTTCCATCCCTTTGCACAACACTCTTCTTCAGAATTAGCCAGATCAAGTCTGTACCCCAAACCTCACAAGAATGTGGGATGAACAACTGGCAGTGGGGGATTTTTAACATGGCCTGAAGTTGTTAAAAGCTGTTCTCTGGTTCCTTGTGAGCTTCCAGAAACAAGATAATAACAACCAGATGGACAGGGCAGCATTGTCTGTTTTGTTCCTGGAGTTCAGAAATAGAAATAATCCAAAAACAAATCAAGGAGAGGAACTAAAAGTTACCCCAAGTCCCTTAATCACACTCCTTTTTATATTTGCAATTGTAGCTGCAGCTCTGCACACAGACTTGTTAACAATTTTGCTCACAGCTTCAGAGATAAGACAAAATAATTGTCTTTTCAAGGATTTGTAGGAACATCATGACCGGATCGAGGCTGGCAGGAGTCAAATGACCAAGGATGGAGAGTCTCTCAACCTCCTCAGACCTTCACTGATGCCACGATGTCTGCATTCACCTGTCACCTCCTACTCTCCCTTTCCCTAACATAAAAGGAGCATAAAATCAACCCTGAATGAAGAGGGGCCTTTAGGACCACAGTCCTCCCGTCTTCCAACCTGCCAGCTTCTTGAATAAATCTCTCTCTACTCGGCACTCTTTCTCCATGTACTGGCTGAAAAGGGCAGCAGCGAACCAGACATTCACAGTTATATGCTCCCTCAAATTCTAGCCCTTCCGTCGTTCTCTAACAGCTTGGTATTTATAAAACCTGCCTTCCCCACGGGACTGCTGATGTCAAACAAACCCTCATTTGGATCCACCCACAACTTAGAATAGTCCCCTGTTGGTAGTAAACGCTATGGGAAAATGTTAAATGTTCTCCACCTACTTAGCGTTATTTCTCCTTCATCACAAATGCTGATTTGGAAGGTCACGGCACTCTAATCTGACACCAAGCCCCTGTAGCAATTTTACTTCTTCCAAAGTGAGAAGCCAAAAAGGCTTCTCTGAAAGTGAAAGTGCAGGGTGACGCTGCCAATCATCTCGCCCGCCTCCGGCCCACGCCCGGGACCCCGCCCGCTCGCCAGCCCACCACCACGTCCTTCAAAGCCGCAAGGCGCAGGAAACGCCCGGCTTGGGCAACCTTGGAAGTGTCTAAGGAAGGAAAACACCGAAAGAACGCATAGGCACAAGCCAGCTAGAAACGTTCAGAACCCTCGGCGCCCCAGCCCCCTGCAGCTCACCTGCCCGCGGTGAGCGGTAGTGGTCTGTGCAGCTTCCCTCCTGTGTGCCGCCCCGCAGAAAAGCTTCCGGTTTTGGCAGGAAGTTCCTCTTTTGGGATAAAGGAAGTCCCGCCTCCGCGGTAGAGAGCGACGGCCGCTGGGTCTTAGTTGAGAACTTCAACCAGAATCTTGGTAGATGGGGTTCGGACACCCCAACCCAGCCACGTCATCTGCCCACGTGATGCCCAAGCGATTCCCCCCAAACCTGGGGTGACAGAACAACCCAATGAACGTGCATGTTCCAGTTTACTTGTTATCACGGAACTTTGTTACAAGCCTATGTAACCTCAGTTCCAGGTTTGAGAGTCAGCCACCCAAGAAGCATGCGGTGGTCACACAGAAGAAGAGAGTGTTGATGCCTCAAAAACTGGGAAAGGAAAAGAAAAAAGCTAAAACATAAAACAGAATGAAAGCAAATGTAATAATGGAAAAAAAAAATTCCACAGACATGTTGATTTCTAAGTACCCATTTTCTCTCTGTAACAATCTCAATGGTTTGTTTGGAGGATCAAATGAAATGACACAAAAATAAACGTTTAGTAATGGGGTCTGGTACATGATTAAAACACGCAAAGCCTATACTATTGTTTGTTGGTAAAAATAAGAGGTCTTTAACCCAACTAAGGGGAAATTGAGTAACACCTCAGGGAGGTAGTAGTAGTCTTCAGTCTGAATGTTATTGTTGAGCAGAATTTCAACACATAGAGATATCCATTGTGATTATCCATTGTTTTTATTGATTAATGAACGGACATAAGATGACAAACCTTATTCCCTAAAATAAACTTTAAGAAGCTTTATTGTTTGAAATCTTATCATTAAGAATGAAACATACCACTTCTGCTTGGATGAGCTGAACCATGTGCATCATTTAGATACTTTTCCAGTCCAGGTATAGAGCTTCAAATAGGGATTTTCAGATATTACGTTCCACATTTATTTAACTTTATTGTTTTCAAGGATATGAAACCTTGTAGTCTGCTTCATAGTCCCAGCCTGAGCCTGTTTAATTCTTTTATCTCCCCTCTCTTTTTCCTTTTTAATTTTTCCTTTTATATTTAGTACATACAATAAAATATACATATTTTAGCATGTAGCTTGATGAATTTTGACATATGTATATACTCATGTAACTATCATCCTGATCAAGATATCAAACACCCTCACTAATTTTCCCCATCACCTATTTCACCCATCACCTCTGCCCCTGCCCTATGGCAACCACCAGTCTGTTCTCAGAGTGTATGAATCTTTTTCAGTTTTATTCATTTGTGGTTTTTTTTAGATTCTACATATACATGAAATCACATAGTTTTTATCTTTGACTTATTTCACGTAGCACTACTGTCTAGATCCATTCATATCATCACAAATGGCACAATTTCTTTTTTATGGTTGAGTAATATTCTATTGTATTATCTACCACATCATTATTATCCATTCATCTACTGATGAACCTGCTTAATGCTTACCTATACCTCACCAAATCCTATGCTATCCCTGTCTCTTCCATTTTATTTTAGTTAGACTCCCCCAGTTCCTCTGGTGTGTGGTCTCCCTTGTTTCGGCAAGTTAATAAACCTAACTTCGTTAGACTATATAGGCTTGTCTCTGATGGGCTTTTACATTGTTTATTTTGACCAACATCCTATACTCAAGAAGGTTGGAGGACACTCTGAACTCCAACTGAGACAAAAACGGAAGCAGAATAAAGGTAAATTATTTTCTGATATTCATCTGCACTCTGAAAAGAGTTGTGGATTTTTTAACTTGACAGCTTTTTGAATTTCCTTTCAGCAGAGAATGACCACAGTTTTTGAAAATTATTGGCACCCACCAAATTCAGACCAGCCCCACAATAGATAAAGAAAGCATGAATCTTTCTTTTCTCTGTAAAATACTTGTTTCTCTCCACTAAGCTATGGAGAATACTTGCCCAGTTTTGCCCAGAGTGAAAAAAATGATCCCCCTTTGCCTTTAGTTCTTTTCTTTTCACATGATCCTGTTCACTAATGCCTCAACTGTGTTATCTACTTGAAGTGCTTTCTCTGCTAAATTTTTCTCTAAAAGAGGTACATCCTGTCTCTACACCTCCCCTCCCCCTCACTTTAATCCTTCACAGCTTCTCACCATCTTCCAGTTCTTCCAAAATTACCTTCTCAAATGTCACAGTGACTTCAAATCACAGGTGGTTTCTCAATCCCCATATCCCTTGATTTATCTATACCATAGGTTGATAGCGTTAATTATCTTCTGCTGTTGTAAAAATCATATTTAAAACATAGGGAAAAAAAGCCCAAACTTAAAATACTAAATATTTTCAATGCAATCCATTTTGAACCTCATCACTCATGCACAAAGTAAAGATTTACTGAGTGCCAGCTCTGTAACAAATACTATTTTTAGGCACTGGAAATCTAGCAGTGAAAGAGATGCAATGTTCTAGTCCCAAAATGGTATAATATAGATAATACATAAATGAAATAAATAATTTCAGAGTGTTGTAAGTGCAATAAAATAAACAAATGCTGCTGTATAGAATGTAACCAACTTAAAGTAGAAAGGTAAGGGGAGGTAAACTTTCAAGGTGACACACTTGAACTGAAAGCTACAAGAGAAGAAGGATCCAGCAATGTTCAAAAACTCGGGGAAGAGCATTACAGGCCTAAGGAATAGCAAATATGAAGATCTGGAAGTGGGAAATACTGACTTACAGTTTTTAAAGATCTTTATAGTGCTAAAGGTTAACAGGAGTAGGAGGCAGGGTAGAGGTAGGTTATGGGGGAAAAGGTCAATCAGAGAGATTAATTAGGAACCATTGTAGTAATTTCTTCTAGGACACAAAAGAAAATGGTGGCTTAAATTAGAGAAGTAGGAGCACAACTGGAAGAATATGGGGCCATAGCTGCTGAGAAAAGAAAACTACTCACTACGTTTTGCAAGATAAATGTTGGTGTCTTTGACAAGAGTAGTTTTGGTAGAGTAGTGAACTCAAGAGGCCCGACTGCAGTGAGATGAAGTGGAAAAGAATTTGAGGGAGAAAGGCTAAACGACCCTCCAAAGAAGAGACCTTCTAATTGCCATATTTGATGAACATTTTCCATTCAGTATCTTATTAATGCCTCTGAGGCATTGTACTGTAATGGTGCCTGGTCTGAAACCAGATATTCCAGTAGTTCTTTCTCCTTCTTATTGTTCTTTTTTCTTTTTTGGGGGGAGTTATGAATCACTTTACAAATGTGATGAAAGCTATCCACATACATAAAATTTTTCCATATAATTTCAGAAAGGTTAATTTTATGTGTCAACTCAAGCTACGCCACAGCACCTAGATATTTGGTCAAACACTAGTCTAGATGTTGCTGTGAAGGTGTTTTAGATGAGGTTAACAGTTAAACCAGCAAACATTGTGTAAAACAAGATTGCCCTCTATAATGTCAGTGGGCCTCATCCAATCATTTGAAGGCTTTAAGAAAAGACTGACCTCCCCAAGAAACAGAATTCTGCCTTCCCTGAAACACATGACCATGTGCCATGGGGAAAATATCAGGTTTCTTTTCACAAGGAAGATGTGAGGAATGAGGTGTAGATAAATAACATCTGCTGTAGATTCAATTCAGTATCTTCTCAAATCACTCCAATGATACTAATTACAGATTGACTTGCCTTGTTTTGTTTTAAGATGTTCTTGGTTAATTCCCTTATTAGTTTCCTCTAAATTAAGTTTTTCTATGTTTTTCTTGTTTGTTTTTGTTAGTTTTTGCTTCTTCTTTTTTTAACCTTGGTCTTTCACTTATACTGTAGGTTTTCTATAAATGTGTGGGAGTTTATAGTTGCTCATTTATATTACAGAATGAGGCAGTAGAAATCTAAATGGAAGCCAAAGAGAGCTCAGCTTCTGTGGGGAGGGTTGTCTGACTGGTAAGTTTCATTGTCATGTGAATAGGAGAGAAGCAGCCATCATGCTCCAGGAAGGCTCTCAAATGCTAGAATAGAAGAGTGTAGCTCTTTGGCACCAACACCTTTGCTAAATGCCTGATTTCTTCCCACAAACTTACTTCTAGTTCTCTAGAGAAGACATTTACTTTTTTGCTTGGGGATATTTACCTAGCAATGATTATCTAGTTTGTCCACTGGGGTACAAGAAAGAAGTAGTGATGGGGGCAGATACACCCTTGCATTTTATAGACCATCAGTTAATTTATATTTTCATCCACATCTATCACTTCAACCTTCTGTGTTGACAAGTACAGAGCTGTTCCAGTTAGTTTCCTATTGCTGCTCTAACAAATAACCACAATCTTAGTAGCTTAAAACAACACATATTCATTAACTTACAGTTCTGTAGAAGTTCAGCATTTCTCAGTGGGTGAAATCAAAGTGTCAGCAGGACTGTGTTGGCTTCTAGAGGTCTCAGTTGAGAATGTGTTATCTTGCTTTTTCCCGTTTCCAGAGACCATCTATATTCTGTGACTCATGGTCCCCTTCTTCCATCCTCAAAGTCAGAAATAGTGGGTTGAGTCCTTCTCACATCACCCCATTCTGACCTTGTTTCCATCCACAGTCTCCTCTGACTCTTCCCTCCTGCCTTCCTCTTCCACTTTGAAAAACCTGTGTAATTATACTGAGTCCACCTGGATAACTCAGGATCATCTCTCTGTTTTAAGATCTGATCAGCAACACTAATTCCATTTCCAACCATAATTCCCCTTTGCCATATAACCTAATATATTCACAGTTCTGAGGCTGAGGACATGGACATCTTTGGGGGTCATTATTCTCCCATCCACATCTGGTTCTACTGAGCCTATTGGATCCTGTATTAGCCACAACCCCTTCTGTACACATCCCTAGCTATGTCTTTATCCCCACTGTTTTCATCAATCAATGATTTTTCTGCTTCGTGTATTCCAGAAATGTTTTGAAATTTCTCATTCACTAACAGAGCCCTTTCCATTCTCAATGTTATTTTGATATTTTAGCCTTTTTATCCTTTTACTTTATTTTTAGTGTTCTCTCAAGGAAGAGAAAAGATCAATGCATGCACTCAGTCCAACATCTTGAAGAGGATGCATATTCTTCCTCCACCTCCCTCTTGCAAGGCTAGCAAAAAACCTAATCTTAGTGTTGGGACTTCTTTTCCTCTCAGTGTTACACCAGCTTGTAGGAGATGGTGGAGGTGCGTGCCTATGGACACCTCATTTCCAAGTATCATAGACAGCACTGATAAGTTTATTGTCAAAGCTGACAAGAATCCTTCAAAGCCTGGCACCTTTCTGCTTCCCTGCCACAGGAATGCCACTGTGAACACTTATTCACATCCCCCTTCTCACTGTGTCATCACATGGTGGAGAAAGAAAACAGCTCTCATGTCTCTCATAAGGATACTAATCTTATTGGATCAGTTCCCATTACTTCCAATTTAATTACTTCCATAAAGGTCTTATCTCCAAATCAAAAATATTGGATGGTCAGGCTTCGATATAGGGATCTGGGGGGGACACAAACATTCAGTCCATAACACTAAGGTAAAAGAAAAAATATATCTACACAAAAATTTACACATAAATGTTCACAGCAGCATTATTCACAATAGCCCAAAAGTAGGTGTGACTCAAATGTCCATCAACTAATGAATGAATAAACAAAATGTGGTATATCCATACAGTTGACTATTATACAGACCTAAAGAGAAATGAAGTTCCTGCACAGCATGGATGAACCTTGAAAACAGTATGCTAAGTGAAAGAAGCCAGTCACAATTCCATTTATATGAAATGTTCAGAATAGGCAAATCTATAGAGACAAAGTAGATTAATGGCTGCCTAAAGTAGGGGCTGGGAGTGAAGTAGGGGGAAATGGGGGGGTGAATGCTAATAGAGATAGAGGTTTCTTTTAGGGGAAGCAAAAATGTTCTAAAGAGAGATAGTGGTGATGGTTGCATAACCCCACAGATATATTAAAACCTACTGAATTAATCCTTTAAAGAATTGTATGGCACGGGAATCAATAAAGCTGTATCAAATAAAATAGTTTATCCCTAAAAGTAGAGTGCCCAGGGATCAGTGCTGAATCCCCTTCTTTGCTTTCTTTTTTTTCCCCTTCTTTACACACTATCTCTAGAGGGGCTCATTCAGTCATAGTGCTTTATCAGCTACTTGTCAGCAACTCACAAATCCAACTTCCAGCCTAGCCTTGTGGAGGCACATGCCTTCCTGACATCTCTAGGGTATTTTATAGGCATCTCTTAATTTTTCCCTAAAAGTTGCTCCTTCTCTGTCTTCCTAAATAATTTATGGTGCAACTCAATTTCTTTAAAACTCTAGTGGTTATCCTTGATACCTCTTTTCATTAACTCTACATCCTTCCCACGAGTAATTCCAACCAACTCCTTTCAAAATAATCATCAATTCAACCTTTTCATTTGGTGTCCCCTGCTACCATCCTCTCTCACAGGATACTCTCTCTCCTCATAGGTCTTCTTACCTCCTCTCCTCACCTTCTATAAACCCATCTTCTACTCAGATGCCAGAAAGATATTTTATAAGTGTGAATCAAATCTAGTTACTCCCTTTCTTGAAACCCTCCATTGGCTTCCCAACTGCATTTAGATTAAAACTTAACCTCCTTACTCTGGTTTACAAAGTCCTACACAATCTGTTATCTTGTACATAGAGGCAAAGCTGTTTTCCACCCTAAGATCTATATATTCCTTTTGGTTTGATTGCTTTTCACCAGGATTGTGGAATGGTTAATTTCTTATTCAGAGCTCAGATTAAATGCTACTTCCTCAGGGAGGTCTTCCCTAAATACCCAAATGTAAACAGCCACACTTTAAAAATTATGTTTAGCAATTGCTGATATGTCTTGTTTATTGGTGCTTTTATGACTTTGAACATCTTCAATATTTGAATAGATAATACATTCACATGCTTCAAAAGTCAAAAGTAATGTGTGTACAGTGAAGCATCTTTTGCTAGCTACTCCTCTTTCTCTGTCCCTTAGTTCCCCTAGTAACCCTAGAGATATTTGTGCAAATATTTAGTTCATTCCTTTTCACACAAATGGTAACTTACTATACAATCTCTTAAACAACCTTGTTTTTTGTTGTTTTGCTCTTCCTATAGCATGAAGACCTGTCTAACTTGAGAACAAAGGGGATTTATTGGAGGAAGCACAAGCTCAGGTTCAGGACAAAGAACCAAGATAGAATAGGAAACAAAAAAGAACCAAAATAGGAAGTGCTATTTAGCCATTTGGTCAGAATCTGCTGCCAGATGAGCATGATGCCAACAGTTTTCTCCACTCAAGAATCTCCCTGGAACCTGAAACTAATAGAATTTTGTGTTAACGATACATCAACTAAAAAAAAAAAAAAATCTCCCTGGAGGCAGATTCCAACTGGTCAAGATTAGGTCATGTATCACCCTTTGATTGTAACTTGAACTAATGGTTAATATTGAAATTTATATTACTAATGATATTGCTTATTGTACTTAGTATTTTAGTTTTTACCAACCAGTATAGAAAAATTTTGCCATACCACTTATAAGGTCCAATATATTCAATCACATGAAATATGAGGTGCATTACAAGACTAATGAAATAATCACAGGAAGTCTGCAGTTAGCCAACTGTAGATGGTGGGGGTTTGGGGAGCCAAATGCCAATTGCATTCAATCTGGTTTCCCATTATTGTGGGGTCCATGATGATTAGCCTTTTTCTGTGTATTCCAATCCCCAAACATCAGCCCTGCATGCATGGCAGTAAAACCTATTCTAAGTTACTGACAGTGAAAATGGAAAGCAAGTGACAGATAAGAGACATCTCTAAGGACAAATCTGTAGGACTTGGGAGGACTGGATAGATTACAGGAGGCAGGGTAAGAAGTACAAAGATACTCCCTGATCACTTCAAGAAAGATGGGGATAGAAAAGGCATGGGTAAAAGTGGTTTCATTCCATTATTTAGATTTGTAGAGGGATAGGAAGGGAGGTATAATTTGGTTTTAATTATGTTATTTCAAGGTGACAACAGGAAACTCAGGTGAATAGGCAGTTAGATACTGAACTTCCATCTGAGCAGGTCAGACTATTGATATCATTGATATCATGATATGATTGTAATCATGGACAAAACTGAGAGTAAACAGTCTAAGAGTACTTTCACCAGGGAATAGAACACTGAGTAAGAGTCATTAGGAAAAGAATTAGAGGCAGAAGAATCACATTAACATAAAAGCTAACATTTAAAGTTTATTGTATCTTTTCACATATATTCTATTAAATGGAACCCTTGAGGGGTAGATTAGTTTCAAGTAATTTTATTCATTAATAAATATTTATTAAGTGCTTCTAGGACGATGATGGCAGGTAAGTCACAGTCCTTGCCCTTAAGTGAGTTTTCAATCCAATGGGAGAGGCAGAGAAGTAAACAAGTAATTAGGGTCCCTGATTCCAGCACTAACAGTACTGTTTCGTAATTGGCTATTTACTTGCCAGTCTCCCTTACAGGAAAGTCACATGAGGTTAAGCCATAGTGTCTATCACACTAATAAAGCTTAGCAAAGGATCTAGCACATTGGTGCTCAAGAAGTATTCCAAATGAATGATAGAACAAACTATCTCAGCAATGATGAACACTGTGTTATGACAGGGCAAGAGGTATGTGGGGAGAGCAAACTGTTAATATGTTGAGTTAAGGTAGGTGATCAGATTTTGGAGAGCCTTGTATATTATACCAAGGAATTTATGGGTGGCACTATTGGATATTCAAAGAGAATTTAAATCATTGGAATGATATTTTGTGCTTTGGGAAGAACTTCGGTTGGAGTGTAGATAGACTGGAGTGGGGACAGATTATAGGAAGCAAAGTGTTTATCATGTTATTACAACAAATCAGCACTTACCAAACTTTTAAATATATTTAAGTGTGCACATAGAATGGGAGGCCAACTGGAGAGAAAAGCAATATGATTTGACCTTGTATTCAAGGTCCTGGCTCTGCTTAGAAAATGCTTGAAGAAAAAACAGAACATCTAGTACCTAATAGGTACTTTATACATGTACATTTTCTTCCCCTTTTCTTTCCTCTCAGTACACTGAGTAAAAAAAGAGCCAATGGATAAATCTCGAGGGTATAAGGCAGAGATGAAGTAAGGGCCTCAAGAGGCAGAAAGGAGGGAATCCACAGCAGAGAGCTTCTCTGGCCAAGGGCATGAGGCTACATTTCTTGAGATGAAAGGAAGACTTTTTGAATACAGAGAAGCAGAGGGGAGGAGTGAGATTACATTTAATGGGAGAAGAATGAAGAAGCAGGGGGTGTTAGACTGACAAATTTGAAATCCCCATCAGAATTAGATGAAAAATAAACTGGCTATTGAGGCTGTTAACACATTATTGCAATGGCTATAACAGCAGTTCTGAAAATGTTCCTCAGAAGCTCTCAGCAACAGGGGAGGAACATAGAATGTGGTTAGAATCCTCCAGGATTATAAGTGGCAGGAAAAGAGGGGCCTATGGAAGGAAGGAAAGTGACCCCGGGAAACTCCCTGAAGTGAATGACTACAGGGTATATAGGTTAGGAAGAGAAAGGAATCAAGTTGGGAAGTTGACAGAGTGGAATAGACAAGAGCAGATCGATATAAAATCTTGCTGAACTCAGAAGGCGATTATGGTAACATAACCGGCCTTTATTCTTTTGATTTTGCAAATAAAATCAGTTTTTCAAAGCTTCATAGAATAGAAAATGTGAAAATAAATGTCTTAAAATTAGGTCTTCTAAATGACAAAATTCAATTCTTACTTATGCAGGAAAAAAATGACTGTAGTTTAAACCTAAGAGATAAATTGATAATTTTATTAAACCATTATATTCTGGTTTCTTCTGTAGTAACAACTGTGAGATTTTTGATTATTCAATAGATAAAATGACTGTAAGTCACCAATTCAATGTCAAGTTATTTCTGTCATTGACAAAGGCAAGATAAAAATGACAAAATCATGAATAGCACAAGGCCAAAATCAATTTGATTAGAAAAGGAGTAATCTACTAAAGCAATCTTCATTTAAAGGTATTTTGTTTATACAGTTAGCATTAGATCTTTTTGAATTATCACTGAATAATCATCAAGCTTAAAGTTAAGGGTTCATAACCACAAAGCTCCAATTTCCCAAGTGTAGTCACAAATACTCATGATTTTAAAAGGTTTCCTTGTCTCTACCAAAATGGAAGATTCAAATTACTTTAAAAGTTAAAGGCAATACCCAAGTTTTCAAAAGATTTAGGTTGAAAGCTTCAATGAGAATTTCTCATACTAGTACATGGTGATTGATTAGATCTGAGATTATACACTATAGAACCAATCAAGTAAAATGCAATGTTTCTGAGAAATACAAATTGTCATTTTGGGATGCCAGCAACACTTCTATCACAGGTATCAGGGTCTGTGTTTTCTTACCTGGAGCCACAGATGGGAGCTTGGAGCTAGAAATTACACAAAAGGGATGGAGAGTTAGGGTTAAGGCACTACAAGCTCACTAGTGCTTCATAGTGTAGCCTTTGACTACTTTTTAGTCAGGCACTGGATCTCAGGTTAACCTTTTTCTTTCCTTTAATCAGAGATTAATGATGCCTACTTCCCTTTCCATTCAAGCACCAATTGCCTTCAAGGGGGGTAGTGATGTGGGTGGGAAGGAGATGATGTCCCCCTGCTTTTATATTTGAGGTGAACAAACAGCTTTTATGGCTTTTACTACTGATGGGAAAATATAAAAAGGGTTAGAGCCTCCTTCTGAAAATACTTGTTCCAAGTACTCTTTTTCCTCAAATGGAAAAAAATTGCTGTACCCAGGACACTAATTAGTTTTGGAGCACAAACTATGTTATAAGGAAAAAAGAATTCGGTCACCATATAATGTATTTTGTTACGTGGACACTCCTTGGTTGAAGAGCAGAATTTGCTAATTAGGGAGAAGGAGGAAAGGTAAGGGGGTAAGAAGGAAGACCAGAGTCTTACTGCTTATCACTATCAGCCTTCTTAAGACTTTAGTGAGGGAATTTCCAGAGATAAGGCAGATATTTTAAGCAGCAACACTTAGGAAGAAAGAGTCCCTGAAATCTTTGGGCCAGCTAAGCTATAAAACTGGTCCCACTGAGGGCTTAGACCTGGGGTAGAGGAATTGGGAACTGCTGACACAGTACAATTTGGAAGTATATGGATAAAGATTCCCAGAAGCTCAAGTCTTCTTTATTGACAGAATTAACAGAACATTTGTGGCTGACTGGCCACGAGGTCCCAACATAGCACAAATTTGACATTCAAACTAGACCTATTTAAATGTTGCTCCTTTGATTCTTTTATTTTTGCACTATGATGATTATCTGTACAGAGGGATTCTAAATCCAAACAACTCACTCACATCATCCCTATCCACTCAACTTTTGAGGATTAAGTTCAGTCAAAATTTTAAAAAAGGGTGATTGGCTAAAAGACAAAAAATAATCAACTAAAATAACCCATGAGGCCTAGTCAAGAATGGCTTAATATTATTCATTCTCTTTGAACATTTTACTTAAGTGCTTTATTAAAGCTACTAGCTCAGGGTTCCCTCCACGTGCATCAATTTGTTTATAGGCTTTAGATTCAAGCTCTTCAAGAGTACTCCGAGTATACTGAAAAGAACCTACATTCTCAAGATAGTGTACACAGTATTTTTTAACATCTATGTTTTCTGTTCTCTGGCGCAAGATATTCTGCACCTGGGTGCTTTCAGGCCTCGACCAAATAGCATGAATAGTAGGGAATGAGAACTTGCCCTCTGTTAGATCTTCACAGAAACTTTTGTTTTCACTATATTCTTTGGAGTGTAGATTAGCATAATCATCCCTAATTTGGAAAAAGAGCCCAAGTGTATTAAGGAGTGGCTTTAAATCTTCTTTGTAATCAGAGAACAACTGCATGAGACCTACAGCTAATCCAAATAGTCCACCTGTCTTTTGTAGCACCATGGCTTTATATTCTTCTTCAGTGGGACAAGTATAGTTATCCCTCCAATAAATATCTAGTCCTTGTCCCTGATGGAGTTCCAAAAGCTGGTGGGTAAAAAGCTTTACTGCATCTGGGTGATCAAGGGTCAAGACTTTCTCTAGGCCAAGAAAATACACATAATTCGCAGAATTGATGACAGATGGAATTCCATAGATGCTGTGTGCCACAGGAAAGCCACGTCGGAGTTTTGAGTTGTCTTCAATATCGTCAATGAGTAAACTGGCATTATGCAACATTTCCGTCACTTCAATGATAATCTAACAAAAAAGACAATTGAAAATTTCATTTTATTTTAACTATTCAAATATAAATATTTAGTAGAGTATGAGAGTCTCAGGTGTCTTAGTTTTTACAATGAATAATTATTTAACAACTTCAATGTAAAACAGTATGTTGTAAAAGCGTTAAACTGAATTGAGAGCTAGGATTATGTTTATGTGACATTTGTTACTTTCTTGGGGATTAAGAACGAGGTTAGAATTGCCTAAATACCTGTAGCTTGTCTTCTGGCACTTTTAGCCAGTGATTAAATGCTTGTGAAAGTTTGGTTCTCACTTGTTTACCTGAAATTAAAGAACAAAAATCAACAATAAAATTAGCATTTCAATGATAAAACACACATTCAGAAACTTCCTCTAAAACTGATCAGACTTGATAAATCCGGCTTCATTAATCCATTACTGACTACAGAGACTACCCTCCACTGCTGAAATTCACATTCTAAACTGCACAATCTTTTAAAATTAGGGTAGACAAAAGAGACTGTGAAGTACTTCAGGGGCCCATAGTAAGCTTGCTCCTTTCAACTTGTATTAATGCTTCTGGAATGGAATGGGCCTTTTAGGAATTATGATCTAATTCAGTTATTTTCTGAAAAGGAAGCCAGTCTAGCCAGCAGCAGTTAATTAGCACTGTCCATTTCACAGAACTATAGATGTTTTTAATGAAATGTACTTTCCTATTGCATTACCTCATAAAATTACTTCTAATTATCTACCATTCTCTTGAATTAAGGTTTGAGAGACTGGGGATCTCTGCCTCTTTCCTACCAAAAAGTGAGATTATTATATCCTTAAGTATTCCCTTGTAACATCCTGAGTTTAGTCAAAAGTTAATCTCCTTGAGTAGGGCCATTAGTTTTCCATACTTTCTTTTTCTTAATGGAAATCTCAAGAGGGAGCTTTGGGCAACAGTTATCACCAGAAGTTGTTGTAGCCCAAATATACAGGAATGGTAGATAAAAATAAAAACCACACCCAGTTCATTTAATAAAAATGTTCCATGAGCTTCCTGCTGAAGTGAATGCACAGGAACATCCTAATTTCAGATTAGGTTTCAGGAAAAATGGTCACAGGAAAAGTTTCATTAAACAAAAATAGTATTTTCTAAGTTCTAGATATATTTTTGCTGCATCAATCACCCAAACAAATTAATACACAAACTCTCATCACATATTCAAGTGGGACAAAGTTTTACTTCCCGTGAGAAGTCTAAAAGGGAAGGATTTCTTTGGGTTCCAGCAGCAGCATCTTCTGTCTACTAACCCTTAAAGTGAACATTCATATATATAAAATTATATGATTTAAACTTTTGATCTACTTTCTAGTTTAATAAAGGTCAATCTGGGCTATACTTACAATGCACAACTGTGCAAAGTCAGTCATATCAGTTTAGAAAACAAGTCTAGAAGGTGATGAACACAGAGAATCAACATGGAGGCACATTTCCCTTTCACTTCAAAATGTAGGTAGAAAACAGATAGACTGTCTAATAAATGGCTTAATTTATAGGTACTAGTTTTAGTATTTTTTTCCTCTGACTAGATTCTAGGATCTGACTTGATACTTTTAAGTCCCCAAATAGTTTCTAAAAGAGGCTAGTCACAGAAATCCTTCAAAATTAAAACACACAGTAATTACTGTTTCCTCTTTAAGGCTTTAACATTAGCAACTTCCTTAATGCAGCCCTTCTTCTTCCTCACTCCCAACCCCACATATCATTTCCCACTGCAAAGGCCTGGGGACCTACATGAGGGCAAATAAACATTCTACTTCACTAATTTCAGAAAATCCTAGTATCATTAATTATTAATTATTATAATCTTCTATTAGCAAAGTAAATTTACAACAGAACAAATGGTCTGGCTCATCCTTAAGTTACATTAGTAACTCAAGCTGTCTGTGAAAAATAGGTTTATTACACATAATGCAATTTCCTATTTCTTGAGGAAAATCTTTTGAGGCTATATTTTACCACGGATGTAAGAATGTATTTGATTAAAAAGAGGTGAGGTATTTAATCAGAGTTTTAAATGTTATCTAATGGCTTAAAATATTATTTCCATACAGTAAGAATTAAAAAAATGTTATAGAAGACCCTTCACCTAAGTTCATTACATTGTCAGCATGATGGTTAAAACATTACTATAGGCAGTACTTGCTTTGCACAGTAGCAGAGCAGGAAGACACTCTGTTAGACTCTTGTCAGCACTGATAACTGGCACGCTTTGTGGTAGCCCAGTTCCAGCCAGCATTTGACAACTTGTTACAAAAAGAAGTCCAGCAAGAGATGGGTAGAGTGCAGGAGAAACAATGCCATGTTTCTCAATGGCAGACCCTGAAATAAGCAAAGTTACTAGCTGCTGAATTAATGTCACTCAAAGCAGTCTCTTGGCCTTTTCTTAAACAGTAGGCAACTTTCCCTTTGCATTCTCCATTTCTGTCTTCTTCCATTTTTTTTTAAAGTATTGACCTTAGCAGGTGTGTCTCCAATAGGGTCCACCAGAAGAAAATGATACTCATCACGATGGTTACTAAGGTACAGCTAGGGAGCTAACACTCTTCTGGCTTTCAATAACCATATATATCTCTCCGGGCTCATGAACAACAGAAACGCACATAAGACCACTGAGGTGTGCTCACAAAGAAAGGTGCCCACTTCAGAAGAGAAATGAAAACGTGTTTATTATGGCTGAGTTAAGAACATCACTAGCCTATAGTTTAACCACATTATGGGCTAAAGAGGTTTTTATGGTCAAGTTATCACCTTTTATATACTTCTATGAAAAAGAGTATTCCAAATAACTGGTTTATAAATGAAGTATTACAAGAATCCACATTTATACATATGAATTTTTACTTGCTACTATCATTTCCCAAAGTTAAAAATATAGCAAAATAAAACAAAATATGTACACATACATGATTAGGCAGGTGTTGCCGTAGGAAGCCATATCCAGGTGACCCATCTTTATATAGGAATAATGTGGACTAAACTTCCAAGTAATGTGGTTTTGATGCATTACTATTTGGCCTTTCAAAGAACTGGTAGTGTAAGCAATGCATTGTGTGTGATAGTGGAACACCTGAACATGGAAGTGGAGCTTTTGTTGTTGTACAAATTGCCATAATTTCTCCTAATATCTAAAGAGTAGGAAATAGGAATATGTGGCACCTATAAGGAATAAAACCTTCAAGGAGTACTCAATGTTTCAAGGATTTTAATGTTTTTAACTATATTATATAATTAGATTTTTTAAAGGGTGCCTCAAAAATAACTGTTTAAAGAACAAAAAACTATAAAGTTCTGTTTATCATTTTTCTCTTATGTATCACCTTAAACAGAAAATCTCAAGAGCTGGCAAGTTAAACCTTTTTGTATGCTAATATTTTAAATGACCACTACTCTATATAAAAAGAAACTTGTACGGACTGTAACTGAATTGTTACCTGGTAACTGAAGTAAGTACTTGTAAGGTTCAAGAAGAATTCTTTGGGCTGCTTCTTGAGTCTTCTCCATTGTTTTTAAATTTCAAAGCTGACCTGTTAGAGAAGAGAAAAATAAAGATGATCCCCCACTAATTAAACTATCTGTGAGTGTCAAACTGCAAGGGGTTTTTGTAAAGGCATACATTCAGTTTCATTTAAAAAGAAAATTCTACACATATGAAATCTTGCAAACATTATGCTAAGTGAAAGAGGACACAAAAGATCGTGTATGTTTCCATTTATATGAAATGTTCAGAATAGGCAAATACGTAGAGACAAAAAATAGATTAATAATTGACTAGGATTGGGGTAGGGGTAGGGTTTCTTTTGGGGGGATCAATACATTTTCAAATTAGACTGTGGTGATGGCTGCACACACACACCCAATGAATACACTAAAACCTACTGTATACTTTAAATGGGTGAACTATATGGTGTGTAAATTATATTTCATTAAAAAAAGTAAAGTCTTCATTCAAGTAATTACATTAGTCTAAGTTTTCACTTGGATTTTAAGTGGTTTCCTTACTTACAAAACATACATTGACTTTCCTAATTTACTCAATCATTAAGAGGTTTAAATTGACATCAAATCAATGTCAAAACAAATTCACAATTAGATACTTTAATTGTATCAATTAGTAATCAGTTTTTTCCTATGAGCATTAAGATGAGTATGTTTTAAATATTTAAAATTTAAGGGGGAAACTTCTCTACAATCAATCCATTTCAGAGATTCTGATTTAAGTGAAGACTTGCATTAACTTGAAAGCAATTATATTATTAAAAATATTCCCCTGTGGTGGTTTATTATTCTGAATTTTACTTCAATATTTACTAGAATATCATGGTCTTCCTGGAATCCTCCTTTCCTGTTGAACCTCTATTTTGATTCATAAGTATCTATTGCTAATGTTATTTGTCATAGTATTAGGAATCTTTTTTTCTAATTGGTCTGACATCTTTGGGACATTTTAAGAGGTTTCTCACCTTTATCTGCTTTCTTTTGCTTCTTGGAACAATTTTTTTAGGTCATGAGCCTAAAGAACTGATAAGTGTTTATTGTAGTCTACTCTTCAGTATGTAGGTGAAACAATCATAAAAATTCAGCACTTCACCAAAGGAAATCATCTTAGCAATATGAATTCAGAGAGAAATAGAAAACTTCCTCATTGCCTTGACCAACAAATCACAAGAGGATTTATCACAACGGGAAAAAAGTTCAGAAAATATTTCTAAGTAATCCAAAAACCAGTTCAGTAGCCTATAACCTATTCTATCACACCATTTAAACTTTGACATAAATTACCTTATTCATAAGAAATTAAACCAGGTTAGTAATCTATTATTTATACTGTTTAAATGTTGACATAAATTCCCTCATTCTTAAGTGATTAAAGAAAGATTACAATGAGGAGCAATAACCCTAAAAAATTATTGAATTTTAAAAAACATCTCTTATATACTTCTCTATTTAAACCAGTTAGTAAGCATCTCTTCCCAAGTAGGATGAGACAATTCATGATTATCTTTTTCACAGTCTACAGAACACATCTGACTTAACTTGAAAATCAATGAGACCAGCTTTCCAGTGTGGGTAAAATTGCAGTATTTCCAGAATCTCTCGCCTGGTTTTAGTCCATCTCCATAACAATAGGTGTTTTCAAGGGGTGGAGAGAAATAGTCCATCTCCATTTCAATAGATGATTACAAGGATCTGGGAAGCGAGGGTATATCTGGACTGGAGAGGTTTGGTGGGGCCCCTTCTTGCAGCTGGGCTGAAAGAGACATGGGCAAGCAGAAGTGGATAACTGCTTGTAGGCAATAAATGGGTTTCTCCCACTTCATCTCTCCCTTTGACTGATTTTGGCTTCAAAGGTAATTTGCCCCAGGCTGGGAACTTATTCTCCCCCTGGAGTTATATCTAGTGGTAGTAGGCAGGTCCTCTGAACCCAAAATCTGTCTTTATGGGTGCTATGCTTGTGTAGGCTGCCCCTAGGGATGGTGGGGAGGCCCTGGTGGCTGCGGCAGTAGATGGTATGTATGGCTTCACCTGGGAGCCCCCTATCCGTGGTGTTTCCACTTGGGGAGCTCCTAGTGGTAAAATGGTCTAGAGTAAAGGACCTCCTAGGCAGTTGGGCCCTTCCCCAGAATTCAGGAAGGGTAGAGACATAGGAAGCTGTGGAATTAACCCTCTCTAAGACAGAAGACTGCTTAGAGCCCCTGAATGGCTGTGTAGCAGCTGGGATTGTGGAATGTTTGTTTCTCGAGATAGTTTAAGTAGAAAGGGTTATCAAGGAGAGACACACTGCAGCGGGAGAGAGACACACACTTCGGTGTTGCCTGGAAGAGGTGAGTGATGACCTATGGGATGCCCTTAAGAAAGAGAGTTATTGAGAAGACAGGTTACACTCCTGGAATATACATCAGCAGCAAGGGAGGAGGCAGCAGGAGAATCTGCGTTGCAGGAGGCTGTGGGGTATGGAGCAGTGCTTTCAGCCCTGGAGATGGTAGAGATGTTCAGGGATGATGAGGGGGTGGAGCCAAGGGCAGAACTGTTGCCAAGGCCACTGCCTGAGGCACCAGCCCCTCTGGTATTAAAGGCCTGCCCATTTGTAATTAAGAAAGTAAAAACTCAACAACTGTGGGCTCTTCGGGGGGAGAAGCAAGTCTCTCCCAAGGTTGTGGGACACTCCATACTCTGCCCCTATACCCAGGATGAGCTGGTGAACATGAGCATCTGGTTTTGGCAGAAGCCATCAGAACCTCTACCTATGTGGCTTTTGCATCTCTGGGACATGGAAAACATTGTTATTTTGGGTTCTGAAATGGGTAGACTGGGTTCCCTGATGACGCACCCTCCCCTCCACCAGTGGGTACAAAGTGTCCATCACACCTCAGGGAATCAGGTGCTTCTGGATTGGCTGAGAGCAGCCATCAGGGTAGTTTGGCCTAATCGGGGTGACATACTTACTAGCTGGAAAATAAATGCAGAGCTCCAGCAGGTGTTACCGGAGTTGGGCATGAAAAATATCATCTGTAATATGGATCCCTAGGGCCCTGATGAGTTGTTCACTCTAAGAATGAGAAATCTGGTCTCCATACAGCTCCCCCATCTCTCTTTGGATCCCTAGTGACTATTCTTGCCCTCCATATAGGGCAACCCATAAGTGAAGCTACTCATACTTTAGCAGATCTGGGGGAGGTTGAAACAATAAGAGCACAGAAGGAAGTATGGGCTACAACTGAAAGGATAGGTTTGTTGAAATCTGGCCTTAAGTCAGACACCAATCATCTATGAGGCTGGTTAGTTTGCTTATGGACAGTGCTAGGGTGTTTGAATGAGCCCTGAAAAGGAGCCTTGAGCCCTGTGGGCACTCTAACACACACTGCTGACTCTCCTATACAACTGTATGTGCAAACCAAGACGAGTTACTGAAGCCAGGATATGGCCAGCAGAGCAATATCCTGCTGCCAGCCCCAACTGTGTTAAACCCTGGAGAGACTCTGATGAGTAGTAGATATGTCCCTGGACATTTCAACACATGGACCAGCAATGGCTGGCCCTTCTGGCACCTTGGGGCAAAGGCCTGGAAGCTGGCTGCCTGTGTGTTCCTGGAGTAACAGCTGAGTGGCCCCCAAAGATCATGGTAGTATACCCAAAACATCTGGGATGTAAGAGCATCTTACAGGGGAGTTTTGTTATATCTTTATGGCCAGTGCATGTACCTTGCACAGCCCTATATATACTGACCCATCTGTAACTCCCACAGGGACTGGGGTGAAGGTCTGGTATACTAGACCAGGATGAGATCCCATTCCTACCACTGTCCTATCACAGGACTACTCTCTAGCATGCATCCTAGCTGATGGACAAGATTTGCCTATGCTGGTGTCCTGAAAACATGTTATCTTATTGCACTTAAGGTTATTTTCTTCTACAGTCCCTGTGGCCTGGACTGGCTCCCTGGTTACAGTTGCCATGTGACATTGTTCTGAACTCCCTACCCTTTTGGATGCGGAACACCTGTGGAATGGGCACCCTACGTACTTAAATCTGCATAGCATTTTGTTCCTAGCTGAGTCCTCTGGTTTAAGGATTACCATGATTTTACTGCTAATGTTATTGTTTGTTATTAGTTTGGTTACAGTACTCCAGTTTTTCTGCTCAGGAGCCATTGTGGAAGATGGGGAGTGAATAGATTGTGAGGTCAGATTTCTGGAGGGGTGGCCTGTGGGTAAAATCGCAGTATTTCCAGAATCTTTGCCCTGGCCTTAGAGCATCTCCATATTAATAGGTGTTTCCAAGTGGTGGAGAGAAGTACTCCATTTCCTTATTAATAGGTGATTATGTAGGGGAGTGAGGATATATCTGGACCACAGAGGTTTGGTAGGGCCCCTTTTGCAGCTGGGTTGTGAGAGACATGGGTAAGCAGAAATGGACAACTGCTTGTACGCAATAAACGGGTTTCTCCCACTTTATTTCTCCCTTTGACTGATTTTGGCTTCAAAAGTAATTTGCCCCAGGCTGGGCACTTATTTTCCCCCGGAGATTACACAAGGATTCTCTTTTGTCCTGTCTCCATCAGTAACAAGTATACTGTGCTGCCCAGAAATCAAGAAGTGACCTTTATTTCAATTCTTCGAGTTGATGTTATTTTTTTACTTAAAACACCAGTTATGAATTTTTAAAAATTATTCTCCCATGAATCACTCAGGTAAATTTAAGATACTCACTTAACAAGTAAGTCAATATTCCTTTCTCAGAGGATGTTTATACACAAGTATTCACAACAGTGGAAAAACAACAGGAACCTCAGTTTTTCTAGCTACTTAAAACCAAACTATTTTGTGTCTTAAGAGTCTAAGGGATTCTACACACCATGGCATATACTGACCTGCCTTCTAACTCAAAAGACTACAATTTATCATAGCTGAAAATTTCTACTATCACATAGGAGACTTACATGTAAAGTGGCATTAGGGTGTTATATGAATTTATTTTTAGATTTAATAACAACTACACAATACTTGTGAGACACTAAAATTACTTTAAAAACTGGAAAACTGCCTTAAATACGTAAAACAATGGATGGATGAATATTAATAGAAATAGATTCTCCCCTCCATATTGGTTACTACTGCAAATAATTTCCGTGTATTGGCCTCTCTAATCTAGTCCTCTACTCTTCAGCCAGTCATCTTTGCAAAGTTCAAAACAAGTCCTACTGAACCCTCCGAAGATATCCCATTGCTCTCAGAGAAGAGCAGAATTTCTCAAACTGTATAAGATTAGCGCTGTCCAGCGCCCCGCCCCCCCCACCACTTCTCATACTTTTATTTAAAAGCTCTCTGACACTAGGCTTTCCAACATGTTATTCTTTCCATCTGGAATGTTCCTTTTGTAGTTAACTCCTGCGAAACCTTTCATTCAAAGCTCAATTGCTGGGGAAAGCCTTATCTCCCGAAACCACATTCCCTTAAAATTCTTGTATCATCATGTAACTCTCCTTTGTAGCATCACCACTAATGCAACTGCACACTCACTTTTGTGTCCATTTTATTTAATTCCAGTCTCACTAGGCTGAGGTCCACGAAGACAGGAGCTATACGTTTTCCTACACTGTAGGCGCTCAATAAATGTTAAGGACTGAATGAACCATCGAACGCAAGGTGCTTTCTAACGCGTCAGAGGATGAAATTCAGGGCACAACGTCTGCATATAAGAATTGAAAATATCATGCAAAATATGTTTTTACTTTTAAGAGAAGGATCTGGTTTCAGAATTCCTAGATAGAAAACGTACATATGTAACCGCGGCTGTGAAACTCCGAGTCCTTCCACTCAAACTCCAGGATAGCAAGTGACAGGTCTGAAGAAAACTGCCTGAGCAGGTACACGCAGGAAATTAAAATAACTTCGCGACCGATTTTCAACACAAGTTTGGCAGAAAAGATTACAATGTCTACTTTGCCAGTCAGTACACAGCCCGCAGGGTCGGTAAAGTCCCTGCTTCTCCCTCCACCCAGACGCCTCCTTCCGCCCACTGGGTCACCTACTACTCCTCCCCTTCTCTAGCAAGAGGACGGAAAATTCATACACAATCCGGTTCAGCATCCGGGTCCTCGCCTGTCTTTCTTTCTTTTCTCTAGGCTCCACCTCCCAGCCTCCTTCGCCCTCCTCCCCATCCGGGTTCCCCCCAGCCGCCACCACAGCCGCTCACGGGTAAACGACGGTACCACAAGTTTCACGCCGCAGGTCCGGGAGCAGCAGTATCCAGTACCAATTTCCCACTTTATTGTTCAGGTCAAGGCGCTTCCTGTCGCCTACATGGATCTGTCCCCCTACTTCACCACAGAACTCTCCGCCCTCCTCAGCCGTCGGCAGCACCGCATTACTCGGTGCAGGAAAATGCGCCATCCCGCTCACACTGCGCAGGCGTCGTCACCGCCTTCCACTGCTTTGTCGCTCCGCCCCCTGCCCCCACCCCAATTCACGCAGGCGCGGGGCATTGCGGGTCTTGCAGTTCTCATGGGCAAGAGCTTGCGCATTGGCCCCTCAGGTTGGACTACATTTCCCCGGAAGCTTTGAGGCGTAACTTTCTGTTTCCATAGAACTGGTGGGAAAATGGCATCGTTGTTTGTATCTCGGGACCAATAAGAACAGGGTATAGGCGGGTTCTAAAGAACCTTAGCCAATCCAAGGTCGTCTAAGAGGCCATCCGGAAAGAGGTAGGGGAGGAGAAAAAAAATCTAGGGGAGGGGAGAAAGGAGGGAAGGGGGGACGTGGGGTGGAGGGGGAGCGGTGTTTGCCCGTCAGTCGAGTCCGGAGTGAGGAGCTCTGGTACCGCGGCGGTGGGAGACTTTTGAGCTTAAGCTTGCCGCCGCCACGGCCACCGTTTGGATCTCTGCCTGGAGGGAGAGGAAGAGGGTCTGTCGCTGCCGTCCTCAGGAGGGCAGCGCTATTTGGGGCCCGGACCTCCAGTCCGGGAGGGATTTTTCGTCGTCCCCCCTCCCCCAGCGAGGGAGCCCGAACGGCCGCCAAACAAAGGTACCAGTCGCCGCCGCGGGAGGAGGAGGAGCCGGAGCTTCAGCCTCAGCAGCCGCTGGACCCGCCGCCCTTCTTCCCCCATCTCTCCCCCGGGCCTGCTGGTTTTGGGGGGGGAGCAGGGGAGGGGACTCTGGACGTGCCAGGGTCAGAGCTCGCCTCCGAAGAAGGTAGGGACATTTTCTGAGGCTTTCGAGGTCTCGTAAGGGCGTCTTTTCAGGAGTTCTTGGGTCTGGCCGAGGGGCAGGTTAAGATAGCTGTGGTGGTCTCCCCGGGCGCCCGAATCCTGGGCCTCGGCCTCCCAGGAGCCGCCGCCGCCCCTGCAGTTGCCGAGTCCGATTCACCCCCCCAGCCTGGCGGCTGCACACTCAACGCTTCGGCGGCCCTCGGCAGCGGTGGGGGGCCCGGGTCGGAGTGGGGATGGCTTTGCCTCCTCCCGGGCCCTCGGTCCTCCCGCTCTCCCCGCGGCTGGGCAGACGTGGACCCCGCTCCCACTGGGAGGTCTCCTCGGAACGGGACGTGGGCAGAGTCTCTGCGGCGGGTCGGCCTTGCCGGCGGCCCTCCGGCCCGCCGTCTCGCCTGCCCCTCCCGCCCCGGCTCCTCGAGACCCGGCCTGCTCCCTCTCCGGGCGCGGACAGGCTCGGCGGGGCGCGGAGACCCGCGGGGAGAGCAGCCGGCCCCGCACCGGCTCCGGGCTGGTTGTGAGTTTCTTCTCTGACAGAAATGGCGTCATTGTCGGAGACTGGAAACTCCGTCGGGTCCCGACAATGGGGACGGGAGGCTGCCGAGCTGTGTAGGTGGCTGGGTTTGCTGAGATGGCGAGGTCACAGGGAGCCCCGAATCTGCGTTTCATGGTCATGGTTCGGGGCTGACGCCTCCTACGGCTCTATTTTGGGGGTTCAGACTTCGCTAGGTTCCCTCGTCTCTGCCAGTGCAGTGGGGTGCTTGTAGTGTTGACAGGGTGTCTTTTGTTTCCCCTCCAGTGCAGGTGAATCTGGTGTTTTCGAGGGGATCGCGGTCCCAGAGTCGTCATGAAGGTAAGGTTGCCTGCAGAAAACGAATCTCTGGGGTTATAGAATTGTGAAAGTCGGAGGTTTGGTCGAGGTCGTCTGTGGGGCCTCTGAGTTTTGCCGAGGAAGGAGTGTTTGGTGGCTTTGGTGCCCGAGCCCTTCCCCGGGACATGATGGCGGGGTCAGCTGGTTTGGGTATCAGTGGTCTTTGCTGTAGAGTTGGAACCAGTTACAGGATATTTCACTGAGGATGATTCCCCCGTATAGAACGTCTTTTTTTGCAGTGAATGAAAAGAATAACTGCATGAATTAAAGTGTTTTAAAAGGAAAAGCTGAAAAAGCAGGTCGAGTAATCTGACTCTAGAAACTGAACTGTATTGTGGTTCTATCGGTTACACCGATGAAAGAAAATCTCATTTACTGTGTGAGCAGTGCTGCGAAGATTTTTAACAGAAACCTATTTGATTAGCCACGAAAATAATCTTGGTTGAAAGGTGTTTAAGAGAACCTTGATGATCTCTGCACAGCTCAGAGACAGCAGTTTCTTGTATTTCCAGGGATTCAGGATTATATAGTTAATGTTATTGATTCATTTGATCTGTGGATTGTCAAATACTGTATTGCAATGTGATAGGAATGATGGCCAGGTTCTTTTTAAGTGTAAACGTGTTAACTGAATGGAAAATATGTTCTAAAAGTGAAATTTGTTTAATTGGTGGACGAAATTACAGCACTAAAAGTACAGGTTTTTTTTTTTTACTTCAGAGTATGTAAATGATGCTGTCATTATTTAAACACACTCTAGAAAAAAATCCGTAGATAGCCGAAATGTCTAGATTCAACTGGTACAAAGGTTGACTGTTCACTATGTAGATAATGCAATAGATAGTATGTTAAAATGTAAATGTCATCTACATTTGACAGTTCCTTTGAACTGTTTTTTAACATATTTATTTCTCTTCAAAACTAGACTGCTTTTGTAATTTGTAATGCTTGTGTTTGTGGAAGAAGGTAAAAGCTGTGGCTAGTTAGATATCAACTGTACAAAGTAATTTAGTCCAATATTTTAAGTTTTTTTTTTCCCCTTGAGGTTGGAGTGGTGTAAACTCTTACGTGAAATAATTTATGTCTTCTGAATTCCTGTCTCACTTTCATGTATATGAAAAAATAATCAGTGAAGTTTCAGAAATGAATCCCTTTTGTTAAGTCATAGATGCTAGCTGTGACCTGTGTAAAACAATGGCAAGTGAGTTCATTAGGAAAAACTGTTTATCTTTTCTGATGTCATGAGAATTTGAGAAAAATAATAAGTTCAGAAGCTGAATAATACAGGATTTAATTTGGAATAAATGTTATAACCTGTCATGGGTCCCAGCATTAGTACCTGGCACATTTTAGATACTCTGTTAATGTTTTGTTAGAAGTGTAGTAAGTTGAAGGTCTTTTGGGTAAAATATTTTTCATTTCCTTTTTTTTTTTTTTTACTTATGTAAAAAATGAAAGTACGTTGGAAACTTTAATCTTCAGGTTTCATAGTATTTATTAGGCAAATGCAAATTTTTTGGTATCATTTTAGAACTACTAATTTTAAGTGCCTAGCATTTCCATTATTACTGACTTTAAAAAAAGGAACTGATAGTGTTAAAAGGAAAGCGCTACTAAAATAAATCTAATTGTATACAAGAACTTCCTGTTGTAAGTATGGAAAGTCTTCTCTTTGGAAATCTGCTAGTAATTAGCACTACTAAAAATTTACCTTTTCTTACAACTTAATTTCTTAAGACTTAATTCTAAAGTCAGGAAGCTACCCATGATTGGTATTTTGTTTTAACAAAATTGCAATTCAAAAAGTGTTTAGTATTATATTGGACTTAACTTTTGTGTGTATGTTCTCTATTTGTAAATTATAATGACAGCTGATCTATAGAGGGATTTGTGTCATTTATTGGATCTTATGAAACATTTGTACTTTGCAGCAAGCTTTTAAGTTTGTGTGATCTGTCCTATTACAAAATTTTATAAAATGTTATTATGGTGGTAATCAATTGATGTAATTGAAAGAGTGTATAGTAATACTTTTTTGGTTGTTGCTTTAGAGCCCCAGAATAAAAATGTACATCTAATTTTAAGTGTTTCAGAAGCAATTTTCCTGTAATACTACAGTCAAGATTTTACTTATATAAAGGCCTTTTATTGCCTAGTGTACACTAGTGATATTTTTGCCCACCATGTTTTTAAGAAATATGAATGTTCTTTAACATAGATAATGATGTTGGTGTTATGTGGGCTTATTTGTCATACTTTTAAGAGACCTTTCATTATCAGTGATTGCACATTATCAGGAAATGATAGTTTATTAATGTTTACAAAGTAATTGTAAGAATTAAAGCCACATTCATTTCTTACTGTTTTTTTTCAGACTAAAACTTTTTTTGTGCCTTTATACTGTGCATGTTATTAATGCCTCTCATATTGCAATAAATTTTCAAGTGAGATGGGCTGGATAGGTTGGACATTTTGGAATCTAAGACGAGTGATTTAGATGGTTGTGCTTTGAATACGGGGAGATGGGCTTTCTCAGGGGTACCATTCTTTCTTCAGTAATCACTGACTTAGGCCACTAAATATAAAGGATTACAAATATCTGTAAGTGCCCTTTGCTTGTGTGCATGTTCTCACTTCCTCTCCCCTTTCCCTCCCCACTTCCTCTCTCTGGCTTCCATTTCCCTTCCTTTTCTTCCTTTCTTCTTTCTTTTTCTTCCCTCCCTTCCTCCTTCTCTCTTTCACCTTCTTCCTTTGTCTTTCCCTCTTTTCATAAATCATTCATTTAACAACAATCCCATCCCATGTGTCAGGCAGTGTGGAATAAGCTATCAAATTTGCTCTCAATGAACTCCCAATTTGGTAAAAAACAAAGAAGTGAAGCAAAATATAGCTCATATTGAATTATAAGAGTATTGATTGCAATTTATGGTAGTTGTGATAAGTGCTATGGGAAGACAGAAGAAGACATCTATATCAGAGAGCCATTGAAAGTTCACTGGTGGAGTTGATATCTAAGCTGGGAGTTAAAGCTTTCACTGGGCAGAGAAAGGAAGAAAAGAATGTTCAGACAGAGGGAACAACATACTGGAAAATGAAAGAACAAGGTGGTGTATTTGGAAACTGTAAGTAGTTCACTGTGGCTGGATTAATTTAAAACACAATGTGTTTGGGGAGGGATTAGGAGGGCAATTATGGGAAATGAGGCTAAGTTAGGGAGTTCAAAATTTTCTTTGAAAGCTATGTGAAATTGCCAGAAGTTTTTACTAAGGGATAAAGATGTTGGATATGCATTATAGAGAGCTCATTTGGTAGTGTCATAGTTTTCAAGAGGGAAATCTGAATGGAAGTTCTGAACTTCCAGGTGAGAAGTCCAAGTGCGAAGTTAAGGGCCTGAACTAATGCATTAGGAGTGGAGCAGAGGGGATAGATCTGAGACACCTAGGAAGTAGCATTCAGGACCTTGTAACCCACCCTGGGGCAGGAGGAAGAAGAGGTTTTTCTCTTGGGCCATGAGATGGATGTTATTGTCCTTTGAAGCATGTTGTCAGTGGAGTAAAGATGAATAAGGTTTTGAGCATTTAAGGGACCTGTATGAGGTCCACATCCAAGTGGAGCTACTAATTAAGATGTAAGATTATGAACAGGTATGATGAAGAGAAAGCAGAAGCTTGGTTAATCCAGTGTGAATGTTAACCTATAGGTAATATTTAGTTATAAGAGTTGAAGGGTGTCTTGCCAATGGGTTTCAGGCCCAGGCAAGTTCACTATGGATTCAATGTGACCAAAGAAATGACAGCATTCTTGGGGTGAAAGGGTTTATACCCAACTTTATTTCCACAGTGGCAGGTCAATCACTAGAATCCCATCCACCCAGAGCGAGTCTGAATGCAGCACACCCGTCTCTGCCTCTGGGTCTCTCTACCCATGCAGCAATCTCAGTCTCTGTCCTTGGCACTGCCATCACTCTAGTCTTGGCTCTGCTCTCCTGCAGCCTTGCAGTTGTGCCACCATGTCGTCCAGAGCCCTGGGCGGAGATCTTTATATATATAGAGTCAATAACAACATATTGCCCACACATGTGTAGTGAGCTAGCTGACCAGGGCCAGGTGAGAATCCTGGCCATAGGAACCTTCACTTTATCTGCAAAGGGATTTCGATCCATGATATGGCTGATGTAGTTTGTCCTCTGCATTTGTGGTTTCTTTGATGAACAGGAAATTTTGAGAAATACTGACTTGTTTTGTATCCAAATGACTAATTCTTTGCTTATTGTAATTCTAAAAAGTATGCTAGATGAGCACATACTTCATTGAAGAATGTATTTTTGTGCAGCCTGTAAATTTAATCTTTGAAGACATCTTCTACCTTCCTTGTACCAGACCAGATCTGGTACTGCTAGGTACTGAGGTTACAACATTAACAAAGCAAGAATACTCACCCTTGTGTTCACTTTCTATTAGACATCAAGCAAAAAAAAAAAAAAATGTGGTAAATATTATGCAGAGAAATAAAGCAGAATCAGGATAAGAGGTTAGAGTGTAATGATTGGGTATAATGAAGGACCTGCTTGAGGACGTTTAAGCATCATGTGAAACAAGTGTTATATATTGAACTATTCAGTTATCTGGGGGAAGAGCATGCCAGGCAGGAAATACAAGTGCTAAGACTCTGTGGAGAAATGTTTTTGGCCTGTTTACCTTTGCATATTTAAGGAACTGGAGGAAGGCCTTTAGGGCTGGAGTAGTAGGAGATGAGGCTAGAGAGGTCACAAGGGCCAGTACAATGTAGGGTCTTGTGGGCCATGGTAAGGACTTAGAGTAAAATCTGAGTGTTAGGAAGTCATTGAAGGGTCTTGAGCAAGAGAGTGAAGTGATCTGAAAAACATTTTCAAAAGGAACAATAACTGCAATGTAGAGAATAAGGTAAGAGTGGAAGAAGGGAGAGGTGTCGCAAGGCTACCAACCTCATTCTGGTTAGAGGTG